TTGTGTTTGAGATCACTGTGTATTGTGCTTTCATGTGAAATACTAATTGCAGTTTTGTTTTGTTTTTTGTTTTGCTTTTTAAATAATATTTATTACTTTTCCAAAAAATTTAAACACTAAAGAAAAAAATACAATACAATACATTAAACTAACAAAACAAAACAAAAACAGTTTAAAACACATCAAACAGTTTCAATATCTTATCTTTCATTCACTTATTTCAATGACCTCCTCACACCTCCCTTTTTGTATTCCACTTCTATTAATTATTTCAGCAATTCCTTTCCATCTTCCTCTGTTTTCTATCCTATAATTATCTTAACTCATTCTAACCTTATTTTTCCCTTTAATACTCTATTAATCTATTTATACTTAATTCCTTATAACGTTTCTACTAAAGCCATGTAACTTCATTCCAACATTTTTCTAACGTTCATTGATTTTATAGTATTTCTGTAAATAGTCTTTAAATTTTTTCCAATCTTCTTCCACCGACTCTTCTCCCTGGTCTCGGATTCTGCCAGTCATTTCCGCCAATTCCATATAGTCCATCAACTTCATCTGCCATTCTTCCCGGGTGGGTAAATCTTGTGTCTCCTACTAATTGCAGTTTTGGTGTGTGATGATTTTATGCATTTGTTGATGGGGGTCCAGGGGGGTCCAGGGTGGTAGCTGGTGATCAGAGCGTTTGGCTAGCTGTCTGGTTCTTAGGAGACTGGAGCAGATTACTTTTTTTGGGGGGGTTCTTGTGTGCACCCCCAAATGCGTCAACCTACCCAAATGAGATTTTAGCCTTGTTCTCAGAGGGAATTCCCTTCTGCTGCCTGCGATCTCGTGACGAGGGAGAGATCTGATGCCGTCAAGACCCTGGATTGCGTTCCTTCATTTTTTCTGGAAATATTTATCTTTTTTTCAAAAGGATGCACGGTATTTCTGTAAATCATTTGCTCTGTCCTCAAAGCTTCAGGATGGAGCCGAGGAACCAGTTGCTTTCGGTAGGAAGGATGAGGGAAGAGACTCTGGGTTTTCTCCTGTGCAGAATAATATCGCACTGCTCTGTCGTTATCTTTTAAGTGGCTGCCCATTGATAAAAATTTCCTAGGTGGCTTAAGAAGTTGAAAGACCATGTGGTATTTAAAAATGCAATTTTGGGGTGTATTGGGATAAGGGAAGTAGGATTACAGCACTTTAAGACAGTCCTATCTTGGTTTTCCGCCAAAGAGTCTTATTTATTTATTTATTTATTTTAAAAAAGCCTTTATTTTAGCACTCAACAATAACATAACAATCAACAATAACTAAAACAGCAATTCGCCATTCGCTACAGTCAATCAACCATCCTTAACAATACATAACATTACAAAACCTCGCAACTAGATCAACATTCCATTGTTTTTTATCTGTATCTGTTTTACATAACCAAAAGGGATAGAAAAATGAAAGAAGAAAAAAAAAGGAAGGAAAAAGAAAATGGAAAGAAATCCCCCCCCCCCCAAGAATCTTGGGAAGTGTAGTTTTGCTGAGAGCTGTTAGGAGACTGATGGACTACATGGAATTGGCGGAAATGACTGGTAGAATCCGAGACCAGGGAGAAGAGTCGGTGGAAGAAGATTGGAAGAAATTTAAAGACTATTTACAGAAATATTGCAAAATTAATGAATGTTAGAATGATGCTGGATTGAAGTTAAGTGGTTTCTAGCTGTATTGGTATAAAAGAATATGAAAAGAATTGGATTTTTAACAGGTAAATTAATGTTATAATATACTAAGATTAAAGATCAGGATAAAATAAGGAGGGAAAGGAATTGCTGAACTAATAAATTGAACTGGAATACAAAAAGGGGAGGTATGAGGAGGTCCGGGAAACAAGTAAATGAAAGATAGTTTGAATTGTTTTTAACTATTTTTACTTTGTGTTTTTTCCTTTTTCTTTTGCATTTTGTAATATTGTAAAAATCTTAATAAATATTTATTAAAAAAAAAAAAGAGTTGTTAGGAGACAACGCTGTTCCCCCTCCCAGAACTACAATTCCCAGCATTCTCTGGGAAGAGAGATTGACTCTGGGAGCTGTACCTCTGGTGGGGCGGGCGGGAATAGGGGCTTCCTCACAGCACCCTCAACAAACTACAGTTCCCAGGATTCCCTGGGGGAAGCCATGCCTGTTTAAAGCGGCACGATTCCGCTTTAGATGGATAGTGCAGACGGGACCAGTGTTTAGTTCTTAATAAAGAAGACGTTCCGAGGTTGACATGGAAGGAGAACCTGCTCCCGATTGCTTTCTCCCCTCTTATCCGAATATTTTGTTTTATTTTGACTTCCTGCAAATGTCCAGGGTCTCTGCCTCGGTGGCTGCTTTTATCTAGAGATGCCAGATTTTGACCCTGTGGAACATGGGCTCGTCCATGCTTGTTCCACCTTTTGCTTATCAATTCAGCCTTTTTTGAAATTTTAAAGCTTATTTATTTTTGGTTCTTAGGCTTCGCGGTGCAGCCTTTTTAGGCTGGAAAGGCTCCCACAATCCCCCGCTGGTTTGTGTCTGGAACAAAATGGCTGCCACTCTTATGGCAGAACCCTGGCTCTTTGTGGGATTTTGATTTTTTCCCTCTCTCTCTCTCTCTTCCCCGTTCCTGACAAAAGCCTTTGGGTAATTACACAAAGAGGCTGCTATATTTCAACCATCAGAAATCTTTTTTTTTTTTCTTTTTTTTTTGCGGCGCTGAAGCAGAGGGAGATCTCGCCTGCGTCTGCTTCCTTAATTGATTATTGGAAACTGTTAATTGGGCCTTGCCAGGATGGGATATAAATTTAATGAGATCGCTGGCATTCTGCCTCTCCGATCCAGGCCTCCCCTTGGCTTCCTTAGGTTCGGTGGAAATACATTTTTAGATCATTGAAACCCCTTAGGTGAGAACATGGGTCATCCTGTTTTGATGGCCTTTTGAACTCTTTGGCATGGCCTCTCAAGCTTTGCTGAAACCCTGAAAGAACAGCCTTCTTCCTTTCTGGAAGTCGAACCTTCGGACCCCGAAGGCCTCTGTGGAAAGATGGGACATGCACTCTGCACATGTTCAGAGTTAGCAAGCGCCTTGCTTCACAAGCTCCCATCGTATAGGAAAGCGAGGATGGGGGCTTGCGTGTCTTTTGAACCTAAGGACCCACCGCAAAGTCTATTGAAAAGCCTGACATCATCTCAGGGGAATTAAAGAGGGCATTTCCTAGCCCAGTTGGTAAAAATGCAAGACTCTTAATTTCAGGGTTGTGGGTTCGAGCGCCACATTGGGTGAAATATTTGTGCTCTGCACGGGTTTGGACTGCCTAACTCTCTCAGACTCAGTCCCTCCCAAATTTACAATTCCATGATTCTATTTATGTGGCTTGTCTGCATCTAAATTATAGTCTCTCTCTCTCACACACACACAATATTTAATTGTACAGCTTTCTCCCCCAATGCAAACCACAGAGTTCCACAGAGAGGGCACCACTACCAAGAAGGCCCTCCGCCTGGTTCCCCGTAACTTCACTTCTTGCAGCGAGGGAACCGCCAGAAGGCCCTCGGCGCTGGACCTCCGTGTCCGGGCAGAACGATTGGGGTGGAGACGCTCCTTCAGGTCTACTGGGCCGAGGCCGTTTAGGGCTTTAAAGGTCAGCACCAACACTTTGAATTGTGCTTGGAAACGTCCTGGGAGCCAGTTAAGATCCTTTAGGACTGGTGTTATATGGTTGTGGCGGCTGCTCCCAGTCACCAGTCTGGCAGTCGCATTCTGGATTAGGTGTTGTTTCTGAGTCACCTTCAAAGGCAGCCCCACGGAAAGCGCATCGCAGCAGTCCAAGCGGGAGATAACCAGAGCATGCACCACTCTGGTGAGACAGTGTGCAGGCAGGTGGCGTCTTAAGCTGCCCTGGACACACAATTAACCTGCACTTCCGTGGACAGCTGAGAGTTCAAAACGACCCCAAGGCTTCATCTGCGCCCGTGCTTTTCAACTAGCCGCAGTTTACTGTTTCATTCAAAGAAGGACAAGCTTTAACTATGGTTTTGCCCAAGCAAGCCAACCTTCAAACCATGGTTGGATCTGGCTTGCTTGGGTAAACTAAGGTTAAATCTATTTGCGGTTCCTGGTTCAAATGAAGTGGAACAAACTTTTTTTTGGGGGGGTGGTAATTAAAATGGATGCAGGTGGGTCTTATCTCCTCAAGCCCTTTGCTTTGGTTTGGGGAAGAGGTTTCTGCGTGCAACACTAAACCATGATTAATGGTGTATCCAAACCACGCTAGTGGTGCTTGTTGCAGTTTACCTAGAGCTGAAATCGTTGACTAAATGCCCATTTCATAATCCAGTGTGGAGCTGGCTACAGTAGTGTTAAGCGAAGGTTTCATGGCAGTGGGAAGCAGTGTGTACTAGTGGGTGGAACAGACTGTGTGAAAATGGTAGTTTACGCCAAGTACACAAGAATTCTCTGTTGTAGCTAAAATGCTGGATTGTGAGGCGGCCTTTGTAGTCAAATCAAAGTGACTCTTGTGTCGCTGATTTTCGAAAACGTTCCCTGTTTTGTCCCGAGCCATAGCTATCTTTGACGGGCGGAAAGATAAATTAGGCACATGGAGTATATAAAAACAGCACCGAACGTTTCATTCAGGCAGAAAGAGTGCGAAACTGAGCTCAGATTAATCTGTGGAACAGCTTAAAGCAAAAACTCCCCCCCCCCCGAAGTACGGGGGCGTAGTTTTCTCGCTAATTTGTGACTCGTTCCCACAACTGCGCTTGAGGCTCTTGCTTTGAGGGGGTGTCCTCGTGCGGAATGCGAGATTGCTGGGAAATATTTGAGATTCTTGGTGTTAAAGGGCTCTTTAACAGATAAAATTCAAGGCGCTCGCGGTTTAAAGAAAATTGACAATCGACCACCAGCAGCTTGGTTTTTTTTTTACTTTTTAACTTTCCTTAACTCTCTGCCAATAAACTTGAGTCCAGGAAACAGAGGGAGCGTTAGAATCACAGAACTGTCGAGTTCCCAGGGTAGGACTCGAACCCACAACCTGAGATTAAGCGTCTCATGCTCTACTGGCTGAGCTGGCACACAACTCAGTATAGTCAGCACTGACTGGCAGCGGCTGCCCAGCCCTACCTATTTTGATCGTCTGCGCATGCACGAGCGGCAAAACCCGGAAGCAACGCGCTCCGTTACTTCCGGGTCGCCGCAGGGCGCAACCCGAAAGTGCTCAACCTGAAGCGTATTTATCCCGAGGTATGACTGTACAGTGGTACCTCAGGTTACATACGCTTCAGGTTACAGACTCCACTAACCCAGAAATATTACCTCGGGTTAAGAACTTTGCTTCAGCATGAGAACAGAAATCGTGCGGCAACAGCGGGAGGCCCCGTTAGCTAAAGTGGTGCTTCAGGTTAAGAACAGTTTCAGGTTAAGAACGGACCTCCGGAACGAATTAAGTACTTAACCCGAGGCACCACTGTAAATCAAACGGAGGAGGCGGGTGCGCTTGGGCGCTCTCCGCTAAGTTAGGCCCGGCGCCTGTTTCGTATTTTGCATGGCCTGGCGCCCGCTTTGTATTCTGTGCCGCACCGTTTGATGATTCTCCATTTGGCTTTTTCCCTCCATGTGTCCCTAACCATCTGCATCCATCCTGCCTAAGCAGCACTGCCGCGATTAAGCTGTTTGGGCCCAGTCCTCTCTCTCTCTCCCTTCCTTCCTTCCCCTGCTTTGCTTTATTCTTCCCTCCCCTCCTCCTCTCCTCCCTATCTTAACGTTGAATTATGAAGCCATTTGTATGCCGATGAGGGTGTCCATTTGGTCCTGATGGCTTACTCCGATCTGCCCTGCTGGAAGAAAAAAGATGGTCTCCCAGACTCCAATTAATGATCACGTTAGTAACTATTTATTTTCCTTTGGCAGCTTGTTTACCGAGAGGCAGGAGATGAATGGGGCAGCGAGAGGCAGAAAGCAGACCCCGCCTGCCTACCAAGCTGGGAAGTTGGAGCTCTTCAGCTTTGGGGCGGGGGGGGGGGGGCAGGTCTGGGCTGTTGTTGTTGTTGTTTTACTTTTGTTGTAAACAAATATCTGCCCTTACAGAGTATCCAAGAGCCCATATAGAGTCCTTACATAGGTTCCTTATTGGTAGGAGAAAAATAACAGAGGCCAACTAGAGAATATTGAGAAGCAAAGCAGCTAGTAAGCCTGATCTTTATTGATCTGTTGCAACAGGGTGATCCCCTCACCTGCAGGAGAGGAGGAACCCTGAACAATGGCGCGCAAGGCCTTATATAGACTTTTGAAATTGCCACCCTGTAGATCAAGAAATTGCCACCCTGTAGCAGTTCGAAAGCACCCCTAAGTGCAAGTAGATAAATAGGTACCGCTTTAAAAGCGGGAAGGTAAACGGCGTTTCCGTGTGCTGCGCTGGTGCCGGCTCGCCAGAGCAGCTTCGTCACGCTGGCCATGTGACCCGGAAGTGTTTCCGGACAGCGCTGGCCCCTGGCCTCTTAAGTGAGATGGGCATACAACCCTAGAGTTGGACATGACTGGCCCGTACGGGCAGGGGTACCTTTACCTTTACCTAGATCAAGGCCACCCCCTCATACATCATACCTACATCACAGAAGGGCTGAAATCAGAGTGCTTTGTTTACCTCCTGTCTGCCAGGTTACCTGTTTAATGGTCACTTGATTGGATTGCCTGGGGAGCTTGGCCAGTCTTTTGTAGTGATAAATATTTAGTTCCTGGGCCAGGTCACAGGCGCACACCCTATTCATATCTTAAATGTGACCTTAAGACAGGATTTGTGCAGAAAGGGACAATGGAGAGGTTTCCCACTTTGACCTTGCAGAGAAAACATTTGCTCAGTTTGGGAATCAAAATGGCTCCAGGTTGGTCTTCCTGTGCTGATCTATGTACGTGCTTGGTTGGTACGCTTATGAACATTGTTGTTGTTGTTTAGTCGTTTAGTTGTGTCCGCCTCTTCGTGACCCCATGGACCAGAGCACGCCAGGCACTCCTGTCTTCCACTGCCTCCCACAGTCTGGTCAAACTCCTGCTGGTAGCTTCAAGAACACTGTCCAACCATCTTGTCCTCTGTCATCTCCTTCTCCTTGTGCCCTCCATCTTTCCCAGCATCAGGGTCTTTTCCAGGGAGTCTTCTCTTCTCATGAGGTGGCCAAATTATTGGAGCCTCAGCTTCAGGATCTGTCCTTCCAGTGAGCACTCAGGGCTGATTTCCTTCAGAATGGATCGGTTTGATCTTCTTGCAGTCCATGGGACTCTCAAGAGTCTCCTCCAGCACCAGAATTCAAAAGCATCCATTCTTCGGCGATCAGCCTTCTTTATGGTCCAGCTCTCACTTCCGTACATCACTACTGGGAAAACCATAGCTTTAACTATACGGACCTTTGTCGGCAAGGTGATGTCTCTGCTTTTTAAGATGCTGTCTACGTTTGTCATTGCTTTTCTCCCAAGTAGCAGGTGTCTTTTAATTTCGTGGCTGCTGTCACCATCTGCAGTGATCATGGAGCCCAAGAAAGTAAAATCTCTCACTGCCTCCATTTCTTCCCCTTCTACTTGCCAGGAGGTGATGGGACCAGTGGCCATGATCTTTATTTTTTTGATGTTGAGCTTCAAACCATATTTTGAACCATATTTCAAACCATATTATAAACATTACCATATATCTAAGACCTATCACACTTTTAACTCCTCATCTCCATTCTTTGTCTTATGGGGCAATACAGTTTGGCACCATTCCCATGATCTGTGGCCCTCCAGGCTTCCCCAGTCTCTAGGCCAGCCTTTGCCCACCTGCTACCTGATTGATTGATTGATTGATTGACTGACGGCACTCGCATCTCCTCCAAGGAGCTCAAGGTGGTGTATGTGATTCTCCTCCCCATTTTACCCTTACAAAAGCCCTGCGAGGCTGGCTAGGCTGCGAGTGAGTGACTGGCTCAAAGTCCCATGCAGCGAGCTTCATCGTGGCTGAGTGGGAGGATTTGAACCCTGGTCTCTCCCAGGTCCTAGTGGTTTTGACACCCTGCTGGCTCCCGGTCCTTTCAACAGCCCCCACGGGTAGTTGGCTGCTGTCCCCAATCTCTTCCCTCAGGCCACAGAGGGCAAACGTTTCCCTGTAAGCTTGCATGTAAAGGGCGATTGCGTTGATGGTAAGGCTGTTTCGATTCTGTTCTTGCGGGGGAACAGAACTGAAATAAAATACTGGAAATGACCTTTCCCAGAAGTCAGCTTTTGTTCAGCTTTAATCACTTTACACTATTTCTTTTTACTATCTCAAAAAAGCACCTGCGTTGGGGTTTTCATATGCAAATATAGTTAAATTTAATTGATTGGATCTCATGAAAAGGCAGACTTATTAGTCAACTAAAATTCTTTTAATTGTCTGACAGCTCTAATAGTTCTTGATTTTGATTAAAATGGTCTAATTTGTGAGGTGTGTGTGTGTGTGTGTGTGTGTGGCTTTGCACAGTCATGAGAGCCAGTGACTTGGGGACTGCCTGGTTTTTCATGTCAGGGGTTGCATTTTATTTTATTTTCACGACGTTGACTCTTCCAGATGGATGATGTGCTTGCAAACCGCTTTCCTTAGGGGAGCCCGCAAAAAAACCCTACCTTTCAGTGGCACACATGGTTTGGTCTTTGTTCGTCTTTGATTTCTCTGCGTAGGCAGTGAGCGCATAATCAGATGCGTAGTTGAAGCAATCCACCACATGTTCAAAGATGGTTCGGAGGATGATTTCTCTTCCTTTGCCCCCGCAGTGTTCAAAATTGGTTTGGGCTGCAAGGGGCTCCCTCTTCCTCCGCAGCAGCTCTTCGCAGGGACCTTGAGATGTTCTGGATGGGGAGAGGGTTCAGACTGCATCCCATCGCAGGGGGTTGGGCTGGATGACCCTTGAGGTCCCCCCAACTCTACAATTCTATGATTATGGTGTGCACCCAACATTTAAAAAATTAATACTGCATGAATGCGTATGCAATCCTAAAGGATGTTATTTTCATCCGTCAAACTCAAACCTGACTTTTTGATTAACAACTAGACTTTACTTTAAAAAAAATACTAACTTGAAAAGTGTGACACAAAACACCCCAAGTTTTTGCTGTTAACTTTCCTGATCTTTTATCTCTTAACTAGATTAGATAAAGAGCTAACACAAATTGACAGATTAAGGTTTCTTCGTATTTCTGTCCTACGTGCGTGATTTTATTCGCACGCCTCCTTTTCACTGTTCGAACCGTGATCAAGAGGCAGCTTATAGCATGAAAGGAATACGCAACAAAAGGAGTCATAAACAGTAAACCAAACGTTAAAAAAATACACAACCAAACCGAACAATTTCCACGTAAATTGCAACACGGCATAAAATAAAGATGCAAAATTCCAACAGCAAACCCCACCGCCACAATAAAACCATAGCTGTCAACTTACAGATTTGAAAATAAGGGACCAGCAGCCTTGAAAATAAGGGATCAGCAGCCAAAATAAGGGATCAATAATTACTTTGGTAAAATACATATTTTGTTATGTGCAAATGGCTTTAGATACCTATTAGGTCCTATAAATTACCATATAGCATATATTCAACACAAAAAAACAGCAACAATTTGTTGTTGACAAAGCACAGCTGGACATAGAAAGGGCCCCATTACCTTCAGTAGCTTATTTAAGGGACATCATCAGTAAGGGACAGCAGCGGGACATGGCGCTGGGATAAGGGACTGTCCCGCCAAATAAGGGACGCTTGACAGCTGTGAATAAAACCCCAGTCTCCCAGGACTGGCAGCCCAGACGTCACTCACCAAAAGCTGGTCAGTGGGGCTCAGACAGAGTCATGAGACAGACACAGGCGGAAGAAAAAGACTGCGATGGAACCGCAGCTTCGGCCTGTGTCCTGTGATCCATTCCAGCCTTTTTATTCTGCTTGCATCTCCACCTTCCTTCCTTCCTTCCTTCCTTCCTCCCTTCGCCTTTCTGTCTCTCCTCCACCAACACTTCACAAGTTGCGGTAGCTGTGGGAGCCCATTTTGCTGCCCTAACCTCTCCCCTCCTTTCCACAATCCCCTGTTG